ACAAACCCGCTGGAGGTCCCCAGCGCTGAGCTCATTGTGGGACCAATGCTGCCTGGGAGGCTTTGGGGTCCCCTGGACTCTGCTGACCCAAACCCCCACTTTCTTACCTTGTTGTTGGCTTGTTGAGTGGTGCTGTTTACCGTCCTGTTCCTGCTTTCTTCAACACTGACACCAGGCTGGGGAGCTGCCTGCTCTGGCCATGTTGGACTGCTCTAGGAAGGAAAGAGTCCTGCTCACCAGCAAGGATGATGCTGAAAGATGAAACTGTAGCTTTTTTTCCTGAACTCTTTCTCTTTTGGGGCTGGGGGGAGAGAGGACCCTCACTTGGCTCTGCAGAGCAAGGGGCTTTGGTCGCCTCTGGGACCAAGAGATGTCCTGGAGCAAAGGCTGCTTGGTCCCAGCGCTGAAGGATGAGTCCCTGCTCTTGAAGGACTCAACACTGTCAGGTCTCAGCACTTTCATGGGGTTCATCTCCTGCTCTGCTGGATTTGGACTCTGGAAACTGGTGCAAGATGGTCCCAGGCAGAAAAGGGACAGGGTCGACCTCCCGCTTTGCACCATGATGCACTTTGCTGTCAGTGAAGCTGGCAAGCTCCCAGCACTAAATGTTTATTTATAAAAAAAATTGCTATTAAGCCCATGTGGGGGAAAGGGGAAATACCTGTTTGTTAATAAATGTTAACTCTGAATAAACACTTGTCTTGTGTAAGGCAATTGGTGTCTCTGGGTTAATGGAAATAATTGTGCTGGGAGCAGGGTCTGGCTGTGGGGAGGAAGATGTTCTGGTCTGGGTCCCTGCCTGGCTCTGGGGGCTTGAGGGGTTGCTCTGGGGGTGCAGCCCGGAGCTGGGAGCTGCCTTTGGGCTGGCTGGGAGCAGGGGTGGCTGCAGCACAAACCCAGCTGTGCTTTTCACTCAGCTGGCTGTGGGAAGGGGCTGTCCCAGCCCTGGGGGACTCCTCTGCAGCATGAAACATCAAAGCAGGGGCATGGAAAGCTGTGCAAGGGCTGAGAGGGGCAAAACCTCACTGCAACCCCTGTGCTTAACTCCACTCCCTTGGGACAGCTGTCTGTGCCGTGGTCCTAGGGGCAGGACTGGTGCTGCCACCATATCCCCGGCAGAAGCCACCGTCACCTGTGCAGGGTCTCACTGCGGGACCCCTGTGTGAATGTAGGCTCCTCTGCTGCCCACGTCATTCCCCCTTCCCCACTGTGACCCCAGGCCGCTACTCCCGACCCCACTTGTGCTCTGTCTTGTGGGGCAGGTGGCCATTAGCCATAGGCAAGCTGGTCATATCCCCACTCCTCCTTTAAAGGGGTCCCAGGTGCCCGGGCCAGTGAGGGTGACCAATGTTGTAGGCCAGGGATGTATAAGAGCATGTGATGGCACTGCTGGACGCCAGGGCTGAGATCCCCTGAGAGTCAGGGATGCCTCCGCCGTCAGCTGCTTCCTCCGAGGACTGAGCAAGACTTGTATGTGGACTGTGAGCTCAGGTTGTGGTTAATGTGACAAATGGCCTGCTTTGCAGAGGATCCAAGTGAAAATAAAGTTTTGATGGTAACAACCTTGTTGTGTCATCGTTCAACCGAGGTTCCCTAAAGCATCTGCCTGTCCCCATAGCATTGGGTGACACCCATGCACGCCGATGCCCCTTGAAATGCTTGCGGAGCACATATCACGCAGCCTTTTAGCTGCTGCTGAGTCAAGCCCTACAGATTTAGCCCTTTTAATCTTTCCCCTTACGTCAGTCCTTTCAGCCCCCTTGGCCGCTGCCAGCTGCTCCCCTCTGCTGTCACCTCCCGTTTGTCAGGAGTGGTGGCAGTGGAGGAAGCAAGAAATAAATCAGCAAATACCCCCTCGTCCCTGCTTGTGGGGCTCTGAGGGCAGCCAGGGTCTGGCTCAGCTGTGTGAGAGGGAGTTTGGCACCTGGGCTTGAGTTTTGCACCCCGCTGGGAGACCCCAGCCCTGCACCACCTCTTCCAGGCAGGGGAGGACTGTGTCCCCCCAGCTTTGGGGACACAAAATGGTGATGGACTTCCAGCAGCTGAGGAATGGATGGAAACCTGGCACTTTCAGCCCAGATTGTGTTTTGCTGCTCTCCCATCCTCAGCCTGGCCTCAGCACGGAGCGAGGATGCCGGCGTTCAAACTCCCACGACGGCCGAGTGGGGCCGGGAGGAGGGTCAGGCGCTTCCCCTCTTTTCCCCACTATATTCAATCCCCTTTCGCCGAGACCTGCCCGGCGTCTCCTCGGGGCTGGAAAGGGTCGTTGCTGCTGCAGGGCTGGATTGTACCTTCCCATGGCCGGTGCTAACCCCGGCGCAGGCTGCCGGCAGAGCTTTGCAGCTGGAAGCTAGATGCCGGAGTCTTGCTGGGCAGAGGGCATGAATCAGTGAGCTCTCCCAGGGATATTTAGGGTTTTTCCCCCAAAAGCATCCTCAGGGAAAGCAAAGCCAAAATTCAGCCTTCTCCATATGCGGCAAACAGCCCTGGGGGTTGCGAGACGCAGTGACAAACTGAGCTCAGAGGTGGTTTTTGCAAAGCTGAGCACCCCAGCCTGGCCGTGGGGTTGCTTCAATCTGGGGTAACCAGCACCAGCTTTGCTCAGAGAGTGGAGAAGAAACAGCTGAGCCCTCAATTGGCCTACAAATGCCCAGGCGGAGCGGTTGCACCTGAGCTGGCTGCTGCTTCTTTAGGTTAAACGGCAAACAAAGAGGCTGTGACTGGGTGGGTGTGATGGGGCAGGGCACCCGTGCAGCCAGTTTCCTGCAAGTGATTTAACCAACTCGGATAGGGAGAGATGGACAGGACACCAGCCTCCACCCCACGGCTCCTGCCCCAAGAGCCTGGGCTCAGACCCATGCTGTGAGCCGGGAGACGTTAATTCTAGTTGTAACCTAAAGATAATAGTTGGTGTTTCCCCTTGTTATTATTTTAGGCTTTTGCTTGGGATCTTTTCCAATTTTGCAGTTCAAGTGGAGCAAAAATGCACGTGACTCATCTAATTCCCCTGCCCCCTTGCAAACCAGAGTGGTTGCAGACCATGGGCAGCCGCTGGCTTTGGTGCCAACTTCAAAGCTGAGTTAATAATTCAGGCAGGATCCTTGACAAAAATGTCAGTGCGAGCAGCACAGTGGGGGAGATCTCCAAATCCTGAGGCCAAAGAGCCTACCGCCGGGGGGGGGGGGGGGGTTGCAGGTTTGTTCTGTCTTTGGTAGGATGTTATAATCTGTGGGTTATACATAGTCTTGTAGTTTGGGTTATTTGGACTCTTAAAATAACATTTGCCGTTTCTCTGATGCTTTTCCCCTGCTCCAAACATCTCCCAGCCTTGGCCAGACCGTTGCAAGCAAGGAAAGGAGGGGGGGACGGTGACCCTCTGGATGGGCCCTTCCTGCACCCCGCTTGCAACGCGGCAAACAGGAAACGTGTGAGCACTGGCATTTGAGTGTAACCTGAAAACGGAAAGCCGCCTTGAGTAAGAGTGAAAATGAGAGCTCGGGTGCGGGGCAGGTCAAACGCCCTCGGCGCGGGACCAGCATCCTTCCCAGACCGGGGAGCCTCGCTGCCCCATGCACCCTGAAACTGAGGGTCCCTCTCGGTAGACGGGAAAGGTAAGCCTTGCTAGCTCGTGTGTCACCTTAAAAAACAGAAAAGCAAGGAAAATAAGGGTTTTTTTTCTTGCTGTTGGTGAGCTGGGGGGGGCTTTTTCTTGCTGCCTGTGGGGGGAGTGTGGTTGGGGGCCCTTTTCTGATGGCTGGGAGCAGCATGGGGTGTTTTGGAGGGGAGGCAGGTTGCCGGGAGTTGGTGACGCCGTGGGGGGGG